AAAAAAAAAAAAAAAACTTACCTGTGATGTTTTGAAGTTGCCCTTTTTTTCCGAATTAAATTGCTATTTTTTTCGGTTTTTTATGTTTGATTTGTATCAATAAAAAAAAACTTATCTTTTTGATGTGTTTTTTCGAATTAGTAGTGTGTTGTTAGTGCTGCTTGGGCCCTGGTTTTTTATGTGCGTCCATATTTTTTTTTTTATAAAAAGGGCAAAAGTGTAAATTGGGGTGCGGTATTTAGCAAAAAGGGTGCAGTATTTAGCAACACCCTATGTGATATCCAATGAAAGTTTTTCGAAACTTAACAGCCAAATCAAACTTTTTAACATTGGGTCACCTCGTTTGTCAAATCGACCAAATGAACCGAGTGTAGCCGGGTGTGCCCGAGTCACAACTTTTTCCGTTTCAGTTCCAAGTTCACCGTCCGGCGAACACAGATGCAAATGGCGACGATTGATGATCAAGCGCCAAGCTGGGAAGAAATCGACCGAGCCGAAAAGTACTGATTTTCCACCTCTGTTTTCCTTTTATTCCTTTTTTTTTTGGGATTTTTAATCATTTTCTCTTCGTGAGTTTTGATGCGTGCGTGTTTGTTTACGGCGCGGTTTGGCAGTTACCTCGTTTGCCGCATGTTCGAGCAGGCGGAGGCTCTATCGTCCTCTGTTATTATGCGATTGCTGCAAAATTTGAACAGCGGCAAGGACTCGGAAGGTTTCGAAGACGGTTGGGATGATATGGCTGAATCAGCTGGAATGATTTTGGTGCAATCCTTGAAAGAATTGGGAAGGTAAAAATGGAAACCATTTGAAATTTTAGCTCTGCCCCTTTTTTCTTTTCTGGATAAGCAGTCGTTTTATTGAATTCCATGCCATTTTGTGTTCTTTTTGTGTAATCTGCAGGACCTTAGAAGTATCAGAGGAGCTCACGTTGTTGTTTGGTTCAGTAAATGGTATACCTGTTCAAGTTCTCATCACCGGGTACCTGTTCGTTCCGTCAATTTGTACATTATTGCTTAGGTTTCCTGTTAGTTTTGTTATGGTGCCTTGGACTCGCTAAAGAATTTTCTACATCTTGATAACTTTTTGAAAGTTTGGCTTATTGCTTTATTATGTGGCTTATAGTATGGTTTGCTGAAATGTTTGGATATGATTTTCTTTTTGTTGGCTAATCTGTTTGTCAAGTAATTCAAGTAAGTCCCAAGGATATTGGAGTGCTTCAGGTCTGTGAAAAGCACATGGGGCCTAGGTGATCAGCTAATGGGTTCTGTTGGTTTTCATTACATTTCCAGTTAACTCCTGTTAATATAACTGAATCACATAACACTACGTAAAAATAGACGTTCAATGCTTGGACATTTTTCGTTCTTTTATTTTTATTTTTTTCAGTGTCAAAGTTCGAAACTATCAATACCTTGCAACAGAATAAGAAAATGGAGAATTTCATGGTCCTATGAAGTCCCTAATATGACATTCAGTTTCATTTTTTCCACTCAGGAAAGATATAGAGTTTCCGATGATTTTTTAGGACTGTGGTTGCTACTGTTTCACCTAGGAAATATAGAAAGAAGGCAAGTGGAGCTTCAGAAGACCACATCATGAACATCTTGAAGTCGAATTGTCGTGCCCCTATAAAGTGTTCTACCTATTATTAAAGCTTGCAATGGAAGAAATATATGTATATATGATCGAGTAGGCCCATATGTATATTATCATTCTTTCCTGTTGTGAGAATGGTGATGTAACTGGTATACCAAATACGGAAAGATCAATGTCATGATCAGAATAGTTGAACTGTTCTGTTTTTCTTTCAGGGTGTGTTTGCACATATCAGAGAACCTTTTGACTGCAGCTCGAGGCTTGCTTGAGGAATTTTTGAACAATTGGAAGTTTGTTGGTGACCGTTATTATCCTCACTTGGGCTCAGTGGATGGTGTATCCCCCAGTGAAGGATCATCCTTTACGTTTTCTGTTGGAATTGATGAGTATTTAGAGGTTGTTGAGCTATATGTGATAACACTTCTAGCTACGACTTTAAATGACTCAGAGCTTGCCATATCTTGGGTGGAGAAAGCCATGCTGCCAGTTGAGAAGCGTCATGTAAGATAACATCACATTTAGGATCTTATTTGATTTTACTTCTAATGTCATCCATGGGGTTGCGAACTACTTTTCCTTTCACCATTAAACTTATTGTTGCTCGGTACTTGCACATTTATTCCATTTCATAATCTTTTGTATCCCTCTTTATTATTTTTCTTTTAAAGATCACAAGGCGCATAGCTCAGTAAAATAGATTTGAAGTTGTAAGCTAATTATCTCTGGGGATTTTGGGATAGTCAGAGGTGGACAGGATTGTAGTAATACTATGTCTTGAGTAACTACATTAGAAAATGAACTTTGTTGAAACCCATCTTATAAACTGAAGGTTGGAAATTCTGAGGAATTTGGTTAGCTTGGCTTCTTTCTCATTAAAAATACATTTTATTTTATTTTTTTCCTTGTTTATGATAGGCAAGTATTACATGTTTTACTGTGAGATATTTCTTGCGAATATGCCCAGTACGCATTTGAATGTGATGTTATGGAAAGCTCTTCTTCCATCACGTGATATATTTTTTTGGGTCTCTCAGGAGCTTTTGAGGAAACTACAGTCCATAAATTCATCTGTCACCAGTTCATCCCAAAATTCTGTATCAACTGAGCTTTCAGATCAATTCTTCTCAGGGGACCAAGAACAGTATAAAGCACACCACAAAGATGTTGAATCTAAGTACCTCTCCTCGAGGATGAATATCACAGCAAAAGATGAGATTGTGAAGCTTTCTCGACAAAGAGCTCCATGCTTCTGGTTGTTCCGTAACATCAGGTTAAAGTTAGGCAATACTGAATTAGTAGTATCCAGTGGGAAGTTACTCCTGGCTTCTCTCCTATTGCTTATGTACTATTTCGCAAGGAAAAAACAGGCAACGTTGAAGAGGTAAAGTGTTGTTGCTTTAACTTTTAAATTCGCCCATGAGAAGCTATTAGATGAGTGCTAGATTTAATGGTTCTGGCAGTGTGGATTGTAGGTACCGCTACACACATAATTTGTCTTCTGATTTATAGGGCCCAAATTATTGAAATTGTTTCTTTTAGTAATTGCACGTTTGCAAGAATTACAACTGAGGCTTATTTCAATTTATTAGTAAATTTCACGTCGAATGCTGGATTTACTTTTCAAAAAAGAAAAAAAGAATTGCCACGAAGCTAGAGACAACATTACCTTGAAACCCCTTTAGTTGAGGTGGATGATATATGATTCTTTCCACAATACGAACAATTCAAGAATCAAGTGGAAGATTTAAAAGTGAGCTGTAGAAGAATGAGCATGAGAAATATTTGGCATTACTAACTGGGTATATTTATCTAATCCTTGGCTTCCCGTCTCAGGCTTCTTGTTGAGAAAGCCGTGTCTGTAAAAAAGGGTTTTGTGGACTTGTGGCAGCTTGTGTTTTCACATCAGGTGAACCCTCTTGCTGCTGTTCAGACATTGCCTACTGCAACACGTGCAAACCACGGATAAGCATTTCTCGGCATATATATCCAAACAATAAAAACTGAATATTAAAAGTGCTAGAACCAAAAAATGAGTTTGGAGTTTGAAATCTTTGTACATTTATGAGGCCTTGAACGTTATACCATGTATTTTAGCTGATTCAATGTCTTTATTACAAGCTAGTTTGATACAAAATCTGTGTTTTGGTTTGTTAATCAAGCTTATCGTAGTGTAGAATTGACATAGTTGTCTTATGGACTGAAAAATCAAGAGACTCAGAAAGATTGATATCAGTTTCAAAACTGAGATTGTACAGCACAGTTATCTTTGAATTTTATAATTGTGTTTTTCTAAGAGATTCCAGTTTTGGTCATACAAACCAGCATTTGTTATAAAAACAACCATTTGTATGTAACAGCCTGAAAGTTAAATACTATCTCAATATTGGTTACTGGTCTCGTTAATACTGATTGCTCGTTACTTAAATATTCATCACCTGATATATATTCATTATTTGAGCATAAGTTACATTACGAGATGAATGAAATTTGTGTGTAACAGCCTGAAAGTTAAATATTATCTCAATATTGGCTACTGTAACATGAATACTGATTGCTCGTTACTTAGTATATTCATCACATGCTATATATTCACTATTTGAGCATAAGTTACAATATGAGATGAATGGAAGCGGCTGTTATGCAAGTGATGGTTTATAATTTTTCATTTATTTGGATTCTTCTCTTTGATTTTTATTAATATTCAAGACAAATAACGTAATTTCTCTTTATCTATTCAACTTAATTTCTTAATTTTCCACAAGCTTCAGTATTTTCCAATCATCAATTACTCTAAAGAACCGAATCCCTCACAATCCCATCCTTTGATCAGCCAAACACTTGACTTGACCATTAAAGAAAATTACACACACAAAAATCCTACACCCATTTCACAACATGGGGTTTTGAAAGTTGGATAAGCACACAAACTCATATAAATGTGTATGAATATATTTGATCCGCGAATAACAACGCGTATGAGCAGGGGAAGATTGGAAAGCAGAAAAACCTTATTTTGATTGATAGGGTAATTTTTTTATATTTTTTTATCTCAAAATTCAACTTAAATCTCATACTTTTTATCAATAACTATATAATGTTACACAGTCAAAATTCATTATTCATTCTCACTTATATTTATCTATTCACATAAACTTTAAACATTACATTCAAAGACGGAGTTGTAGGGAGCCCGGGGGCACTGGGGCCCCCTGAAATTTTTAAAAATTTTAGAGTTATTTTAGTAAATTCAAATAATATAAAAAAATGGAAAAAAAACATATGAGTAGAATCGGATGGAACTTTGAAGCTTGAACAGGAAGATGATATCCAACATTTAAAAAATAAAAATAAAAACAAAACAAAACAAAACCCTTGAGATTTGAGAAACTGATAGAAAAATATTATATTTCGATCCCCGTACGAGCCGTAACATCCGGCTTCGAAAAACCATCTTGTTGTAAGTATTTGTTATACCAATCTCTACTTTCAATGGAGGATATCAATGGAAGTTGTGAACGCGATTTATTTTGGAGAAAAAAGAGAAAATTGAATTTTTCATTTTTTAAGGGAATTTGTGCAGATTTTTCCGTTTACAAGTTTTCTCAATTAATAGAACAATGTTTTTTTTTTTTCCTTTCGTCCAACAAGTAACATGTTGAATTACTGTTTCTTCTTCTTCGTTTTTCTTTTCTTTAGTTATTTAATGTGTTATGTTGATTGTTGAGGATGGAGGTCCAATGTAGTGGGCTTCTCATAGATTTTAATTTTTTTCACATACTTTTTTTTGAGGTCCATATATTTCAATTGGGCATTTGAATGATGATTTTGTTGTTGTGTAATTCCTTTTTTATTTTTTATCCTTAAATCTTTAAAGGGGATTGCAAGATAGAAGAGAAATATTGAGATTTCTCAATGTTATCGAAGTTATTTTTCTCGAATACCCGGATACATGTATTACATCGTAAGTTATCGTAAGTACTTGTACTATACTGATTTATTTATTTTTAATTGGACCCCCCTCGATAAAATTCCTAGATCCGTCACTGATTACATTTTAAATGTTGTTTAAATCAGGGGCGGACCTACATTCATTCCAGGGGGGGGGGGGGGGGGCCCGAACTTTTGATTTTTTTTACCTATGTATATGTGTAATATATTAATTATTAGATTAAGTATATATAATTATTATTATCTCCATTAATCAATAAACTAAAATATATTGATTGAAACTATGTAGACTAGGACAAGCCAAGGCCCATTACACAAATATATAGAAGATAAGCCATAAAGCTCATTTAATGATTTAACTTCCACCTTTTATTATATTATATATATTATATCTCTATTAATAAAATAATAAAACTACTCTAATTAACATAAAAAAAAAACCCCAATTCAAGAGTCCAGAGATAGAGACAGCAATGCATGAAACAGAGCACAGGGACGCACAACACAAGCATGCAAGATAAAAAAATAGCACTAATTTGCAGCAACAAAGGATCGTCCATCATTGATTATTTCGAATAATATGATCATTTTTTTTTATATTTGTGAGTACTTTAATTCAGTGGCAGATCATTTTTTATATTCTACTATGTATATATATGCACATTACAAACCTCTTATTAATTTTTTATCATTTACTTCATATACATATATATTATTAGCATATTCAATTTATTGCAATATTCCATAGTTATTACTAATTATTATATTGCTCAGTCTATTAATTATTTTTAAGTATGTTATGTTTTTGTAAGTAATTTTTCACTCTTCACCTATAATATTTGGTGTTTTATCTTAGTAATGTAGGATTTAATTAAATTCAATGTATGAGATATATATCTTAATATAAAACATTGAAATAGCAGAGCATTCAAGATATACAATTTCATTGTGATTTTAATATTTCTGATTCAATTGTAATGAGTCTCGTGATCTGAAATAATCTTAAGCACAATTTTAATATACTAAATTCATAAGTTATATCTTGGGTCGAACATTTTTACTATTTATTATATAATGAAAATGTATGCCTCATGTATGTGTATAATGTGTTATAAAAAATTATATTTCCTCTCTAAAGGTGTTATTCAAGTCAAGTCAAGCCAAAATATCTCATGTTCAAGCTCATGTTTGATTAATAAATGAGTCAGTCCAGCTCGACTCATTAATAAACAAGTGAGATCCAATTCAGTTAATACACCAATTAAATTTAAGTGTTTGAGATTAGTTCCTTTAAGTATAAGATCAAGTTGAGCTTGAGTTTTTTTGAGTCAAAGAGAACTTGTGCGCAAATAGTTTTGTTCGAATAAAAATCAAATCAAAACAAAAATATTTTATCTCCAACGCACCAACTGATCAATAACCTCATTCTCAGGCGGGAAAAAAATTTCCAAAATAAATAAATAAATAAAAATCAAGGGCACACCGCACAACTCTCATGCAGAAATATTTCCGCAATCCATGCGATGGAATAGTGGCCATTGTCCTCTTCACCATTTTNCCAAAAAAAAAACAACCAACCAAGCACACTATTATTGGCACCTCACAAACTTTCACCCCTCCCAACCCCTCATGATCCCAAGCTCCCATTTTTCATTCCTTTGCACTCAAACAACCCTTCCCCAAGATCCAAATTCCTCATCTAATCGGGACGCGCGCACCCGTACGTGCGCGCACCACCACCATGGCCGGAAAACGAGCGACGAGCTCAATACTCGTCCTCCTCCTCCCCGTCTTCTTCTTCCACCTCGTGACCATGGCCTCTAGCGAGTCGGAATCCGAGATCCTCCTCAAATTCAAGGAGTCCCTCAAGAACGTCGGGCCCATATCCGGATGGGCTGGGCCAGGCCAGCCCTGCAGCGGCTGGCCCGGGGTCATCTGCGGAGGAGGGCGCGTTTGGGGGCTGAAGCTCGAGAAAATGGGCCTTGGCGGGACAATCGACGTCGACTCCTTATCCAAACTCACCGGCCTCCGGACTGTGAGCCTCATGAACAACGAGCTCGATGGGCCCTTGCCCAAGCTGTCGAAGCTCGGCGCCCTTAAGAGCATCTACCTGTCCAACAATAAGTTCTCGGGAAAGATAGCGGCCGACACGTTCGACGGGATGATGTCGCTGAAGAAGCTCCACCTGGCGAACAACCGGTTCACGGGCAAGATCCCGGTGGGCCTAACCGGGCTGCCCAAGCTGGTCGAGCTCAGGCTCGAGAACAACGCTTTCGAAGGGGAGATACCCGATTTCCCGCAGGAGAGGCTCCGAGCTTTCAACGTGTCCGACAATCAACTGGTTGGGGAGATCCCTCGAGGACTCGGCCGTCTCAATGCTTCGTCTTTTTCAGGTGAGTTTTGTTTGGATTGAGAGATAGACAATCCACATTCCCTTTTACCTTAATCTTTGTATTTTTCCCCAAAAAAAAAAAAGAAAAAAAATTAGAAACATGACAAAGCTAAATACAATCTAATCACATTCATATTCAACTTACTCTACTTCCAAAAAATAGGCAACTTGGACCTATGTGGGGCCCCCTTGGCTCCGTGCCCCACCAAGAAATGCCTACCACTCGTAGCCATAATCGTGCCCACCGTCCTAGTGGCAGTTGTCGTGGCGGCCCTCATTGCCGTGGTCGTCATCCTCCGCCGCCGCCGCAAGAATCTAGGCGCCAGCCAGCCGGACGGGACCCCAACCGCCGCCAAGGATAGGGGGGACTCCGGCGACCTCGACCGGATGGAGAGGGGTCAAGGGTCAGCGTCCCCCGGGAGGCCCGGGGTTCGGCTGACGTTCCTAAGGGAGGGAGGAGATAGGTTCGACATGCCGGACCTACTCAAGGCATCGGCGGAGGTGCTCGGGAGCGGGTCGTGTGGGTCAACGTACAAAGCCGCGCTCGGGAGCGGCAAGGTGATGGTCGTCAAGAGGTTCCGGCAGATGACCACGGCTAGCCGGGAGGAGTTTAACGAGCACATGAGGCGGCTCGGGAGGCTAGGCCACAACAACGTGCTCCCCGTCATCGCATTCTACTACCGCAAGGAGGAGAAGCTCCTCGTGGCCGAGTACGTGCCCAACGCCAGCCTTGCCGCACAGCTTCACGGTATGACTTTTTCGAAACACGAAATAGAACACAAAATTGTGATCTTTTAGTTAGTGTAGTTAGTGAGTGAGTGCATTTCTCTCTACCATCATCTCTTGTTTGAATATACATAGAAGCATCCTCGACGAGCCGCATAGAATGCTTCGTCTCTTCGCTTCATATAAACGCTACATATACAGAACCTAAAGATTCGTATGTGCCGCATTCAAACAAACATGCGAACTCCTTGTTCTTTATGTGCTCATAGAAT